ATCATACTGTATATATTTCTCTGTGATTTGCTTCTCTCATTCAAGATTATGCTTCTGAGATTTATCCATTTGATGTGTTCACACAGATATTTTCAATTTGGCCAAAGCTTCACTAAGCTCTTTGTATATTACTTTAATACAAAGCAAACTCAATTTTATCCTTTGAGCCACCAGCTGTCTCTTCACTTTTATAAACAACAATGTATGGCTATACCACAAGTCATCTATATATGGTTTGGGTTAGTTCCATATTTTTGCTACATAAATAGTGCTGCAATGAACATCACTGAACTTATTTCCTGATATACTTGTGCCAAAGTGTATCCAGGGAATGCACCGAGGAGAGGAACTGCTGATCAAGGGCATATGAATGTCCAGCTTTAAGAGACAATGTACATTGTTTTCCAAAGTGGTTGAAGTGATTTATACTCCTATCTCCAATAAATAAATGTTCTAGTTGTTTCCAATCCTACCCAATATTTGATATTGTCTGTCTTTTAAATGTTTGCCAATCTGGGAGGTATAAAATGGAATTTCATTGAGATTTTTATTTCCTTTTCACTTGGGTTATAATATTTTTTTTTACCACATTGGCAGGTGCAAGCCAATGATCAAATGAGACTCAGTTGTACACTCAAGGTTTAGCCATTATCCATGTAACTATTTACAAATTATTGCTACCTTAACTAATTGTCATACCAGTTCAAATTCTTTGGTTAGGAGTTAACTGCAAAGAATCAAGATTTGTAATAATAGCCCTGACTGGTTTGGCTCAGTGGATAGAGCATCGGCCTGTGGACTGAAGGGTCTCAGGTTCGATTCTGGTCAAGGGCATGTACCTTGATTGCGGGCACATCCCCAGTCAGGGGCGTGCAGGAGGCAGCTGATTGATGTTTCTCTCTCATTGATGTTTCTAACTATCTTTCTCCCTTCCTGTCTGTAAAAAAATCAATAAAAAATATATTTTTTAAAAAAGATTTGTAATAATAATTTAGTGTAATGCCTATGTTACAAAGTGGTAGAAGGTATAGTCAAACGATGAATAAAGAAAATAATTTTCATGTGCATTGTTCTCCTTTTGTATTTATTTTGGTATATTGAGTGAAGATGTTTTTAAGGGAATTAAGGGGGAAAGTGAGACAAGCCTATCTAGTTCAGACACCATCTCTGCTGCCCTAAAGGGTGTACAGTAAAGTAGGAGTGGACCACTGAGAATGGGACAAATTTTGTTCCTGTTACAAACCCCAGCAGATAATGGTGCTTTTCTAAAGTCTTAGAATTTTCACGCTCAGAGATTTACAGTGAAGGATTAATAAAGAAATTACTTCCTTTAGACGTTCCTCTGTTTGGTCAACATTGGATTGTAAACGTGCTGAAGTTCGGATTGATTAAATTGTTGGGCTCGGTGAGGTCACATCCTGATTGGACCACACCCAAGAAACTGTTCCAGGACAAGTCAAAGTGCCAAGTATAATGCCAGCTGCAAACGGGCAAGAAGTCAGGTGATCTGTGATAGCTGGTGGCAGCCTGTTCTTACAGGCAGAACTGAAATGGAAACTGCCAACCACTTTGAGATCAGCCTGGGCCTGCCTTGGTTTGGAGGCTGGGTGTTGGGTGTTCCTAATGTTGCACTTTGAGCTTCCGTCTGTCAAAGCTAGCACAGAAAATAGACAAGATGATTTCTACTCATGTATTGTTGGGGAATAAATGTACAGCATTTTTGAAATGCAATTTAGCTCAGCCATGAAGAATTTAAACATATTACTATTTTTTGACCATGTAATTCCAACCTTAGGAATCTGGCCAATCAGAGAGGGAGAGTAGAGGCAGGGCAAAAAGGACTCATACTGGGAGGAAAGAAAGAGAAGGAGAAATGGAGGGTGGGGAGTTTGTGCACACAAGTATTTGTGTGTGTGAGTGCAATGATGGTGTGAACAAGTGTGGATGGACCGCAGGCTCCCAGCTCCCCCTCCTCCTTAACCCTCTCTACTTACTCCCTTGCCAACTGCCTGGCCCAGCTTCAGGAAGGCACATGGTAGGTGGACAGCATGCTGAGCCTCCTCATATCACAGAGAGCTAGTAGTAACTTCAACATTATAGCTGGGTCCAGCACTTTCTTTCAACATCACAAACTAACTTTTTGCCTATAGTCCATTATAATCTTACTAGGGGCCCAGTGCATGAATTCGTGCACCTTGAAAGGAACTGTGGGCCGTGAGGCTGCATGGCCACAAGGGTGGGTCTTGGCCCATCCTCTGTGCCTCTGCCAGGCTCCTCACATGGCAGCACCCTGTCCCCTGTCTGCTGGCAGCCCTGCTCCCACTGCCGGCCCTGGTCCCAAGTGCTGAGGGTGCTGGCCCTGATCTTACCCACTGACTGCACAGAGCAACTGGGGCCAGCACCAGCAGCAGGTGTGAGCACTGGGCAGGACTGTGGCACGCAGGAGCAAAGAATTTTCAGTAACCACCAGAGGCTCACAGATGACAGTGATCTGTGCCCCGCCTTGGTCTGGCTCCCCTGCTCACCTGCTCCACCATCCCACTACGACTGCCACCTGCATGTTCCATGCTCTGCCACCCACTGCCAATCCCACCATGTTCCGCATGCAACCCCTGGTGGTCAGCGCATGTCATAGCAACGGTTGTTCAGCCATTCGGTCAATTTGCACAGTAGCCTTTTATTATATAGGATGGGACCACTGTCATATATGTGGTTCCTTGTTGACCTAAACAACTTTATGTGCACAGGACTGTAAAGTACTTTGGGCAGGCAAACACTGTAATGAGCATCTGTACACAAGGAACCCAAGAAAACAATTCAGAGATGGGATTGAGAGATGCATTAAAGTGCTTTTACAGTGTGCACACACACATTGAAAAACCCTAATGTCCGTCAGCAGAGTAGTATGATAAATTCCGGGCTGTCTGGGCGTGGAACAATAAGCAGCTAATGCAGTGCTTTTGAAGACCATTGAAGAACACAGGCATGAAAATGAAGGAAACCTCAGCTAAAACTTGTGTGGAGAGGAATATCTCACCCCCTACCACTCCTCATCAATTATCCCAAACAGGAAAAGACATACCTGTGTCTCCAAGAGGAAGCTGTATCTACCACCCACGAAGGAGGAAGATTTTCCTCTCGCCCAGCAACAAACCCAACCAATGGAAAACACTACAACTCAGCCAATAATTCATGGTTACCCTGAACTTGTACTTTCCTCCAATAAACTTTCATTTTTCTTCTGCTAATGACTTTTGTCAACAGAATGTTGTCATCAACACCAATAGGAGTTTCCAATTTGGGGTGTGGTGAAGGGAGAGGCTTTATTCAATGAAAACAGCTCAATTGTGAAAGAACTCAGTGACAGCTCAGTCATGAAACAGCATGACTGTGAACCTGCCTTGGTGTTACAATCCTGGGTTGCATTTCAGCAGGGGAAGGCGTAGTCTTCAGTGGAAACTGGTAGTGTGCTCAATGGAGACCGGGGAAGCTGGCTTATAAAGAGAAGAGTTCCCACCTCAGTCTGGGATTCGTTCTTCTCATGAAAATGAGGACTCCAAATCACCACAGTTTGATTGGTCCCAAGAGCACTATCTTGATTGGATGGAATGGAGCCCCTCTAATTGGCTAGTGAAGATTGGATGGGGGAAATCTCAGTTCTATTGGTTGAGTTTGATCCTAGAAGCTCTTTTATACGGGGTGACTCAGCTGAGAGTCAACCAATGCTTGGCAGTGGGGTGCGTGGTTTTCCCTGAAATGCAGTAGAAACAGTGACTACTAGACTCTGGTTATGAATTTGAGCCCAATTATGATGAGTCCTCTTTGGCAAGTATATTTTTCTCAGGGTCAACACTTCCTTGCCCCACCCTCCTTTCTAAAAAAGTCTTTCATCTTGTGTCACTCCTGTGGGTCTCTCTCCTTGCTAGATGAGATGTTGCCTGATCCATGAATTGTTCAATAAAGCCAATTAGTTCTTCAAATTTACTAAGATGAATTTTATTTTATGGCATGACAAATGCTCACAAAGTAATATTAAATGACACGCTGACCAGCATTCTCAGTGATTAGAGCCTCAGCCTGCACCTGGAAGGGTCCCAGTTTGATTCCCAGTTAAGGGCACATAACTGGGTTGCAAGTTTGATCCCTGCTCCCAGTTGGGGCACGTGTGGGAGGCAACCAATTGATGTGTCTCCCTCTCATTGATGTTTCTCTCCTGTCTCCCTGTCTCCCACTCCCCCCTCACTTCCAATCTCTCCGAAATTCAATGGAAAAAATATCCTTACTTCTCCGGTGAAGATTTAAAATAATAATAATAATATTAAATGAAAAGCAGACTATAAAATCACATGTAAAGCATGATCAACATTTTCTAAGAAAAAACTGCACTTTAATTTCTTTAATCTGTGAGGGAAAGTTTAATGGGTGATTGGTGTGATAACTGGTGGTTTAAATGTTCTTACTTGGTTATAAGCTTTCAAATGTTCTGTAATGAACAGGTGCCATTTTTACAATGAGGAAAAATACTTACTAGTAAGTGTTTGCTAAAGTCTCATTCCTTCATTTTAATGGCCTTGGAGGCAGGCTGGCTTCTTGCCACTGCAACCTCAAAGGGCCACTGGGCACCCCACCTTCTCTCTGCCTGCCTCCTGGCCGCGCTTCCCTCGCTCGGCCCTCTCTCCTCTCCCTGCGCTTCCCTTTCTCCTATTTTGAAATATTTCACTTTTCTGCACTGTCCACGGTTTTTACAACACATTGCTTTTCTTACCAAAAACTGCCCACAGAGCTCACGACCCTGACTCGCGGCTCCAGCGCGCCACCTGTCCGTCGGC